AATTGACAAATATGACAGCAATGTTTGTCTTTATCTTATCTCTCCTAATCCCTGTTCTGCTAACTATTTACACAATCTCGCTAGATCCACAGCTTCCTTTTATCGCACTTGCTTTTCAACATGTCCTGTGAGTGTTAAACTTTCCCCGCCCTCTTTCCTCATTATGTGTCCTAGAAATTTTAATAGTCTATAAATGTAAAAAAAAAAAATGTTGGTGACTGATGTCTATAATGTCAGTTGAGGTGCAAAAAAAAAAAAAGGTGGTTCTCTCTCTCTCTCTCTCTCTCTCTTCTCTCTCTCTCTCTCTCTCTCTCTCTCTCTCTCTCTCTCTCTCTCCATACACACACATACACATTCTTTCTCTCTCCTCTTTTTCATTCTTACACTCTCTTTCTTTCTTTTCTCTCTGGCTCTTTCTCTTTCTCATACACACACACTCTCTCGATTCTCACACATTCTCTCTTTCTCTTTCTCTCTCCCTCTCTCTCTCTCCCTCTCTACATACACATACACTTTCTTCACGCACACACATTCTCTCTTTTCTCTCTCTGCTTCCTTTTCTCTCTCTCATTCTTTAATTTCCTCTTTCTCTCTCTCTCTTTTCTTTCTCTCTCTCTCTGCCTGTCTTTTTACCTGCCTCTATCTACCTATCTGTGTGAATGTGTGTGAATGAGAAAGAGAGTGTGTGTGATAGTGAGTGTCATCTCCTTCCGCAAATGGGAAATACTTGTTTGTCACAGATTCCACGTCTTTGCTGTTCTCAGCAATGTTTGTTCCTTTACAATTAATTCTTGTCTTTGTAGTAATCTCCCCACCCCCAGCAGCATGTGATGGCCATGTAAGTGTTAAATTCTCGAAATATTCCTTCTCCGTCTTTTTTCCAAAATTTCGACATCCACTTTCTGATCGTTAACAACGTTGTCTTGTTTTGTTTTTACTATTTTTTTTGTAACTCCTATCGTTAAAAATTCTTGTCACAATTTCTGTACACCGTCTTCTCAATATTCTTCACTTAAATCACATCTCAGTTCTCATGAGATTTTTTTTTTCTTATTTGCGGCTAAATTTATCACCTGAATGTTCTAGCAAGCCGGTAGACGAAAAATAAATAATAAAAAAAAATACTGTCTAATAAATAAACAGCGCCTACTCAAATATTAGTAGCCACTAAATATAACATTTAAAAGTGATAAAAATCCCTCTCTGACACGCACACATATATAGAGAGAGAGAGAGAGAGCAATCTAAATTACTATCAAACATTAAAATCTATTTTTTACATAAATTGCTAAAACTTACCACCCCTCTCCTTCATATGAAAAAACCCAATTACAGCCTCTCTCTCTTTACTTCCCCCTTCTTTCTTTTTCCTTTTTCTTTTTTTATTTCTATTTTTATTTGTTTAAATAGGTCAAGGTCTGGTCACTCCTCCTCCCTCAATACTAAGTATGATTGAGAGAAATATTGAATTAAAACCTCCCTAAACTCTACCATGTCTCTCTAACCACTCCGTATTACACTCTCTGTTAAATTACAAAAACTTACAGTACCCATCAATTTTCATTTCATTTTTCGTTTCATCTTTTGGAAGTGTTATTTGATGACCCGGCGTCCTTTAAAAAGGGCTCTGGTGAAATAAATTATTATAATGGAACCTTAAAAAGTGGTCTGTTTTTTTTTTAAATATATATATATATATATATATATATATATATATATATATATATATATATATAGTTTTAACGTATGGTTTATTTCTGAATAAAATCGCTCAGTATCAGTAATAGAACGTATGCAAATATTATTGTGTTGGTGCATAATTATCAGGCGTTCTTGTAGGCGAGTTAATTGTTAATAAAAATTGATGTTTTGTTTACTTTTTTTTTAATAAAAATATTATTTTATTTCCAGGTTATAAAAATGCGTGTCGATAATCATGCACTCCGAAATAATCATTTAAAAATGTTATCGTTGAATTGTTATGTTTTTTTTTTGTTTTTTTCATAATAAACATTGTTTAAAAAACGCCTGATAATTATGCACCAACCCAATAAAAATTGTTACGGTTTATTTAAGGCAGGAACATTGCTTTCAAGAGTGAAACAGACTGCATGATAATGCATGGTGATCGTTGCGGTGATGATCATGTCGATGTTGATGGTGGTGATGGTGATGATCATGGTTACTATTATGATGATGGTCATGGAGATGATGGTGGTGATGTGCATGGTGATCGTGGCGGTGATGATCATGTCGATGATAATGGTGGTGGTGATGATCATGGTTATGGTGATGATGGTGATGTGTATGGTGATGTGCGGTGATGATCATATTGATAATGGTGGTGATGGTTGCGATGATGATCATGGTGATGATGCTATCGACAAGATGGCTTGATATGATGTTGCAGCGAACAAAATTGGTATATTGCAATAGGAGCGAATGGCGGCCGTGATGATTTTAAAAAGTAAGGTAATGAGTGCCGCCACATTAAACCAATGTTAACAGTCGAATCATAACGGTAAAGCGAGAACAACTGTCATGGAAGCGAGATGAAGAAGTTAATGACAGACATAAATTTGGGAATTTTATCCTACCAAACCTGAACAGACCTTTACTCTTGCTGTGCACAAGATGTGACACAAAGACTGTCCAAAGATGATTTCGGTGACAGATGGGTGACGGTAACCAATTTGGTACGTGTGAAAGGTGACAAATTAGCCGGGCGTTTTTAGATACTGTGTGCCGTTATAAGGTGAGAGACTCCGTTTCTTGTTACTCTCCCTCAGGAGTCGAACAGCCTGGTAAAATGAAACCTGACGTGTGATCTGTTCGCTCTTATCCCCACTGTTCATATCCCCTATTCTCTTGCATGTTAGTATTTATAGCATAAATGCTGATCTGCAGGTAATATAGAGAGTCAGCTGACGGATGAAAGAGACGAATGAAAGGAATATTGTTTGTGGGCATGACATGAATAAGAGAGTAATTTTATTTTTTTTTAATATTAGATTTTCCCGACCCTGTGCTAAATTGATGTACTTATATGCCAATAAATATTAAGATATAGCCTTGCATCTCTCTTCAATAGTCCCCTTTTCAAACAACGAGGCTCACTTCTCAAAAGCTGATGGTGAACGTTGAAAACAATAAAATCACGCCAGTAACATGTTGGACTGAAATTGATAGTCATCATACTTATTATAAAACCCAGGTTGTGTGTGTGTGTGTGTGTGTGTGTGTGTGTGTGTGTGTGTGTGTGTGTGTTCGTTTATATATTGGATCGGATTTCCTACATTTTTCAACCGATTTCAACAAAACGTCACAGGAATACGTAAAATTACCTTGCGGTGGTTCTGACAGCGTCAAAAATTGGAAAAACAATTGTTTTTGCACGAAATCAATTTGAAAACACGATTAAGAGGCATCGCTGTCGCGAGAATGGAAGGGGGACAACTCATATCGAGTTATACTTATTATAAAACCCAGGTTGTGTGTGTGTGTGTGTGTGTGTGTGTGTGTGTGTGTGTGTGTTCGTTTATATATGGGATCGGATTTCCTACATTTTTCAACCGATTTCAACAAAACTTCACTTTTTTTTGGCAGGTAGTGTTTCTTATTGTCTTTCACACTTTTTTCTTTATTTTTACATTCAGAATGCTTTAAAAATTCCATTTACAAGACAGTTGTTTATAATAAAATTTCATTCAATTGGTAGACTCATAACGATTGAAAACAATGTTTTTGTTTGAGTTTGGGTTTGACCAATTCGTAAAAAAAAAATAAACTAATTAAGACATGCGTGTCCGTCAACCTTAAACAATAATCTTTGTCAATTTTATTTTTCAGTCTTTATGATGGTCGATATTTGATCTATCTCTTACTGTTACATCCCCGGGGCAACGCCGGACTGTACTGCTAGCTGTTGATAATGAACAGGTATGTAGGCTTTAAACAGGCAAAGAACGATTTTATAGCCGTCAGTTGCGTAAGAGGTTTTCCTGTTTGTTCCGTATATATTTTCCAAATCTATTCGGTTGACACTGATATTCGGAGTAAAATGTTCCTAATATAAATCATAAACATAACAATTTGCTAAATTTGACACCGCCCTCAATAATAGCTTGATTATTAGCAGTAGCATTTACAGTAATGGTAGCTGTTGTAGTAGTAGAAGCAGTTGTAGTAGTAGTAGTAGTTGTTGTAGTTGTAGTACTAGCAGCATTTATTTACTGAGGTTTCTGGGATATGTAATGAGAAAAAAATGGCCTGGAGAATCTGATACTCACAGATCGAGTAGAAGGAACGAGAGACAAGGCAAAACAACGCATGACATACCTAGCGGGCTTAAGCAAGTGGTTGGCAGAACGTGGTCTGGGGGAGGTGGCAGAGGGAAGGAACTTTTTGAGAGCTGCAAGGGATAGAAGGAGGTGGAGAGCCATGATCCCCTACGTCCTGAAAGGACACGGCACATAGAAAGAAGAAGAAGAAGGGGTTGTTCAGGAGGGCCTGGAGAATCCGATACTCACGGGTCGAATAGAAGGAACGAGAGACAAGGGAAGACAAGAAATGTCATACCTAGCGGATTTAAGCAAGTGGATGAGAGAACGTGGTCTGGGAGAGGTGGCAGAGGGAAGGAGCTTGCTGAGAGCTGCAAGGGATAGAGGGAGGTGGAGAGCCATGATCGCCTACGTCCTGAAAGGGCACGGCACATAGAAAGAAGAAGAAAAAAAAAAGAAGAAGAAGGGGGAGGAGGAGGAGGAGGAGGGATTGTTCAGGTGGGCCTGGAGAATCTGATACTCACGGGTCGAATAGAAGGAAAGAGAGACAAGGGAAATGTCATACCTAACGGCTATAAGCAAATGGATGACAGAACGTGGTCTGGGGGGTGGGTGGCAGAGGGGTGAAACTTATTGTAGGGTAGGGTAAAGTGGAGAGCCATGCAAGTGTAAACACTTAAATGTTAACATCAGATGAATGAGGCTTACAGTATTATCACATTCAAACACCGGTTCCCATACGATTACCGAAGTTAAGTAACACCGACGCTGGTCAGTGCCTAGATGGGTGACCGCTTGGGAATACCAAGTGTTGTAAGCTTGTATGTGGGGGTGGTGTAATGGATAATGGCTCGGAATTGTTCATTGGAGAGCCGAGTTCCAATTCTATATTGGGTTTGTTATATGCACTTACATGCAAATAACCTTGGGTAAGGTATGAATCCACCTCTTCTCCCCAACTATGGGTTAATTAGTAAGACGTGTATCAATAAATTATTATTATCTGGAAAGAAAAGTTCTTACAATATAAAATATTTTTCATATTGTAAGAATTTTTAACCAGCAAAGGGTTGATAAACCACAGAAAACGAATCAATCAATCAATTAAACAATATAAAAACTGATAGCAAGTTTTCTGAGATTTCCAGCACCTTCCCCAGTATTATCACAGAGTTCAAGACTGCTATGGTCTGTTTATGACAATCACTTTAGGACGGCTTTTATATCTGTTATATAGGAATAAAGTGTCGCTGCCGACACTTGAGTTTGAACATATATCGCCAGTGAGCAAACACAAGCGATCGCATTATTGAATTAAGTAGACCATGTGACCATAGAAGAAACGCATATATGTAGAAAGTAGCTGACAACTAACGATCGCCATTTCTAGTCTATCCTCTATTACTATTCGGATCGCTATGTCTACTCTATCCTATATTACTATACAGATCGCTATTTCTAGTCTATCCTCTATTACTATACGAACCGCTATCCTCTACTCTATTCATTATACTATTTCTCTATACTGTTCACTATTCAGATTACTAGTCGAGTGAGTATTATCGAGCAAGTACTATTAGTGCGAGTGATATTCGAAGGCGTCTGACACCAGCATTGTTCAAAAGCGTTACTATAATTGTATCTGCGATTACAAAGTCTCTACTACAATGAGTATTACGAAAGTGGCAACGAATGTTCGTTGACATCACAAAAATAACAAGAACCGGTTCGCAAAGAAAATAGTAATTGGAATCATTTATATACATTGTTATAAAATTATTATTAAAAATATTTTGACATTATAAATGCGAAAATTATTGAATTGAAATCATTTTTTAATTTAATTCAGTTTTAATAGCGACTGAATTTGATAACAATAACCGTTGGATAACATTATCCGTGATTATAATAAACGGCTTTATTCTGTGTCAGTATTTGCACTTACATCTTTATAGCAAAAAAGAATGTCGTGATTTCCTTAACACTTCTGCTAACACAGACACACTGCGATAGCGGGAATGTTTCTCCAGTCTTTCAATCTATCGACTGCTTTATCAATTCACTTTCTGGGAGCAATTCCCATCATTATGAGTAAAATCATCACTCGCCATTTTCCACAGTTCTCGGGTAGTTTTCTGCTTTCGTTTCATATCTATCAATGTTTGCTCGATTAGTTTGTTCTTACACATTGTTTTGTCTTTTTTGTTACAACTTATATGTCATGGTGATTTTCTAAACTACGCTTTGATGTGGCACAAGGCCGGAAGTATGGGGCACCCAGTGAGGATCGTACTGATTACTCAGTTGTAATTGTTCTAGCGAGACAAGCTTGTTAGCCATTACACTACGCCGAGGTAACCTGCATCTTATATGTTATGCTACATCTTGTTTTACGTTTTGTTACATTTGTTTTACTTGTATTGTATCTTATTTTACATCATCTTTTACATCTTTTTGCATCTAGCTTTACATCTTGTGTTACATTTTTTTTATGCATTTTGTTTTAAATTTTGTATAAATCTAAATCTTGTTTTAAATCTGTTATAGTGGGGGTAATATGATAAATAGACCAACACTAGCAGTGGTCTACCTACTTCACGCTGCTGGCGAGTATTTGATTTTGTTGAGTTTACCATTTCAAGATTACCATTTCATTTCCAACCTCAGTTTTGATTATTCGTCATTCAGTAACTCTTTGTAGGTTACAACATTTTGGCGACGAGGATGAGATATTGACTCTGTGCAGAGTAAATCTAAAAAGGGCGGTGTTATATACCATACCTATGAACGCTAATTGGTATGTCCAGATCCTCATAAATACGTTGGACACTATTGTAAGTGGGGGTATATGCTGTCTAAGTAGTCCACCACTAAGAGTGGTTTACCTACTTCACGCCGCTGGCGAGTATTGTATTTTGCTGATGTTATAAAGATTACCATTTCATTTCCAACCTCCATTTTGGTTTTTCCTCATTCAGTAACCCTCTCTAGGTTACAACAAAATCTTATAAAATATTTTACGCTACATTTCGTCTGACATCTTTTTACATCGTGCGTTGCATCATCTTTTACATCTTGTTTTACCTCTTGTGTTACATCTTCTTTTTTCTTTTTTTTTTTACTTTTTTTTTTTGTTTTACATCTTCTCAGTCCTCCAATGTACTCACTACTTTTATAGACTCCAAACAGAGGTTACCAAATTGTTGGAGTCACAAGGAGTTCATCTAGTTACAGAAGCCATTACAATATTTGCATTGTCGATTACTTCGTGTTGTTTATCGAGACGTCCGTTACGAATGTAGTGGAAGATTAATTAGATGAAAGTGAATGCACTTAGCCTCACTTCTTTCTATGTCCCTTGTCCCTTTGGGACGTAGGCGATCATGGCTCTCCACTTTCCCCTATCCTTTGTAGCTCTCAATAAGTTTCGTCCTCCTGCCACGTCCCCCAGACCATGATCTGTCATCCGCTTGCTTAAGCCTGCCAGATATGTCAATCGCTGCTTTCCCTTTTCTCTCTTTCCCTCTATTTGACCTGTGAGTATCAGATTCTCCAGGCCACCCTTTCTCGTTATATGTCCCAGAAACCTCAGCTGCCTCATCCTGGTGTTAATTATAAGCTTTTCTCTAGTCTGCATCTTCCCCAAAACTTCATCGTTGCTCAAATGATCGCTCCATGATATCCTTAGCATCCTTCTGTAGAACCATATCTCCATTTAAACCGGCAAAATGTTGAAGCCTGTGAAGAAATAGAAAAATGATTATACGGACCAAAAACGATAAGGAAAGATTTATTATTTCTAGTTGTGGAGTAGGGCAGGTTGATTTAAACACTTTTTTAGAAACTCTTTTTTTAGTAAAAAAATCAACATTGCATAATTAGGTATAAAAATCAGATTCGATTTCATTTTGACAAGGACTGAATGATTGAAAAAAAAAAAAAATCAGATTCATAGCTTTTATCAATTTTGAACATTTAATCTATAATGATTGAAAAAAAAAAGGTAGAGAAATGCCTAATTTCCGCAGGTTTTTATTTACAAACTGACTTCAACAATTTACTATTTCAGAAATAAATCCAAATAAAATTGATATCTTTTCTATTGAATGGAAAAAATCTTCAAACTAGAATTTTAATTATGAATCACCCCAAGCAAAATATGCAGTTTTTTTACTGTATTTGATAAGTAAAAACTGGGTAAAAAAAATTGTAAAACATTACAAAAAAAAAGGCTACTCAATGAATAAGATTTGTTATATCATTTGTAAGATCATAATTAATAAAAACAAAAAATAGATAAAAGTGTATATGACACCACAATAGTACTGGGTACAAATTATAAGACAAAATGTTTTAAATTTGCATTGTTTATTGAAAATCACATTAAAACTACTGCACTGTATAATGTATTACATCATAATATAGCTAAATTGTTCATTATAGATTCCCTTTGAAGTAAATGAAGGTCTTATCTGATGGCACAATGATTTAGTAATAATAGGCTTGTGCCATGCACCTTGTCCATATATAAATGGTAAAGCTTCAGTAAATTATAAATTTTATAAGGCTATGCGATAAGGCTTTCACTGGTCACCAGAATGAAATTCCAACGCTACGTTTTTTTCAAGAAGGTAAGGATTTGGAAGAAGATATTTCGCGTCATTATTTGATGATGATGGTGATAAGGATGATGGTGGTGATGGTCATGGTGATGGTGGCGGTGATGCTCATGGTGATGATGGCGGTGATGATCGTGGTGATGGTGATGCCCATAGTAATCGTGATGATGATCATGGTGATGATGATTATGATGACTGTGGCAGTGATGATCATGATGATAGTGGTGGTGGTGGTGGTGGCGGTAATGATTATGGTTATTATGATAATGATGGTCATGGTGATGATGGTGGTGATGTGCATGGTGATCGTGGCGGTGATGATCATGTTGATGATGATGGTGGTGATAGTGGCAGTAATGATCATGGTGATGATGGTCATGGTGATGATGGTGGTGATGTGCATGGTGATCGTCGCTGTGATGATCATGTTATTTATCCTGTCAAACCCCAACTTTCAAATTGAGTGCAATACCACGGTTCAAAAATCTACCTGTCCTAATTATACAGTGTTTTGAATTAAAGAATGGCGATGCCCTCAATTTAGATTCGTTCTCATTAATGTTGACTTGGAAAGTAGTTCGACCTGTGTTTCTAACTGTTGAATAATTGATGAAGATTTCTGTGAGGTTTCCTCTGTATTCATGACAAGTAAGAGTGTGACTGACAGGAGGATATTATACTAATATCAATGACCATTATCGCCCATCATTATCATCATCCCCTTGACTTTTGTAATAGTAGGGAGGATCCGAACGCTTAATATCTCCTCCACAACGATCTATCAACGGCAAGCATCAGCAATTCTAGTAGTCATACCTGTCCATTGTTTGATGTTGTCCAACCTGTTTTTGCGTTGATGTTGTTATAGACAAGCGTATGGTTGCAAGAAAGAAATACGACAACAGTAGAAATAGATTTACGTGGTTTATTTCAACAGGAACGTAAGGGTTTAGAACAGCTACCTTGGTGTGGTAAAGTTCATAAGCCGGCTTTCGGATCTAGGTCGATCTTTCATAGTAGTTCACACATGTTGACGGTGGTTGACGCTCTCCAACGTTGACAGCTCTTAAACGTGACCGGTCTCCTAAATGGCCACCTGTTGACGATATTCAGTCACCCACCCACGAGGGTGTCATTGGGCACAAGGCCTTTTTAACGTGGGCATTCGAGCCATAAGGATCTGGCCAAAAAATGCCCAT